TCTGGCGTACACTGTTTCAATAATTTCTTTTACTTCAGATCTGGCTCGTAGCACTTCATTTGGAATGAGACCAGATTAAACTTCTCTTGGGCATTAGATGTAGGAACCACGCAGAAAACGAGTAATGTATCTACCATATTGTATCAGAAGGGCGGAGGATCAACAGCCGTAGATTTTCTGGAACCTTCTTCGAGATTTTCTACATGGCCAGTGGAACAGCATATTGCAGTGTATGCTTGGAAGACTGGAACCCGGCGTATCTGTGTAAAATGAATTTAAATTGTAGAAACTTTCAATTCACTCACATGGTTGATTTACAGTTCTCCTGCTACTGCAGACTTTAACTCGTAGTCCGAAGTGCAACAGTAGGTAAAAATTGCTAATCGGATAACAGAGAATATCGTGCTCAGACCGAGTGAGATAAATGGAGCAATTTATAAACACTAATGAGCAACGTCAGCGAACACTGTTGATTTCAGATCTGACGGACTATGAATTTTTGTACTACTTGCGAGTAGTGGTCAGAAGAATAGTGTTCCTCGGTTTTCGTGCTAGTTTAGTCCGTCAGATATTGGGCTGGTACTGTTCGACAGCTAAGAAATGTGTAAAATTGATCAGAAAGTAGGAAGCTGTTTTCTGAATTTCTTCAGCACCGACTAGCTTAGTGTTTTTCCATTGACCAGGCTGGAAGCCACCACAGCTACAATGAGGTAATAGGGCTGAATTTTGCCGGAGGTACAGCATAGGTTGCTTTTAATGATGAGCAGAATCTTTATTGACAAAATTGCAAAAGTACAGCATTTGTCAGAAATTGTTTTGGTGATTTCGGTATAAAACAGTGAGAAGTCAAAACATCAGAGATGTCCTAATTTGCTGATTCTCTTGTCCTTGACCTGTGACAGCTTTCTCAAAGATAGCAATAAGCGGGCAACAACAATAGCAATTGCTAGCAGCATGAATTAGTAGATGACAACACGTGGCGCGGGTAAGTTGCAAATTGTAACCTTACAACGCAAATTCTTAAAAAAAGCGGGATACAAAGTGAGCGTTCCGGAAATCACTCGAATGGATCGCAGTTGATGTTTTTGATTTCAGTCTCTTCATCACAGAACCTATACGGCTGTGGCCAACCTTGCCTTACTGTGCCCACTTTCGCATAGCATTTTTCACCCCTTCTGCAATTTGCGTTCAGTAATTGACTCGTTACAGTGGAAATAGCAAATGCAATAAAGGCAACTGCTGCAACAGTGAAACACCACCGCTGCCTCGTGCTGTATGTTTTTGATTCAGAGCATGTTTTACAATGGAACTAGTACAACGATTCCCGCTCCCTTCATCGGTACTTTCGCGAGAAAGTCGGATGATTCCGAGATCCAGTGAGCTGGAACTTTTGTCAAGTCTATGAAGAAAGGCAAGATGTATAAACGGATGTTGAATAAAAACTGCAGAAAAGTTGCAAGAGTAAAGCATTCAGCAGAGCCTAAGCTACTTGTTTTTAACGGTCACATTTTTATGTGTTTTTTGCAGCTATGCAATGCAGAAAACGCATGTTGACGAGAGGTTGTCTGTGTGTCTGTGTGTGTCTTGTACCGATTTTTCATCTCGAGACCGGCAAAAGCTACGGGGCTGAAACTTTGAGGGTATAATCTACAATACCGATTTTTCATCTCGAGACCGGCAAAAGCTACAGGGCTGAAACTTTGGGGACATAATCTACATGCACGGGCCTCATCCCCGAAATGGGCGGTCTCACCCGCGTGGTACTCGCGTAAGAGCCCGCCAAAATTTTTTTAGGGTAAGTTGATAACTCGCGAACCAGGAAAGCTAGAAAGCTGAAATTTTAAGGGAATGTTCCCCTTCCAAGTATATACTATTGAGCTCAAACTCAACTTCCGGGTAAGCGTGGTACCCGCGTACGCACCCGCCAAAATTTTTCTTGCGCAAATTCACAACTCGGAGATCTGAAATGTTAGAAAGCTGAAATTTTAAGGGAATGTTCTCCGTCCAAGTAGGTGCTAATGAGCTCAAAACC